ATTGTTTAACGAAAACACTACGATTTATAGGTTTAGGGCTGTATCTATGTATAGAATGCACAGTTTGTAAGTTAGGAAGCATGAAAATCGAGAAAGAACCCAACCAACCTTATCCATATAGTATTCACGTACATCGATAAGAGATTTTCCACGGAAGTTTCTTACGTTAACGTAACGCATGCTGCCTATCTCAATCATCTGAAAAGAGCATATGCAGTTGGTGAACAAACAAATCAATGACAAAAGAATTCGAAGTTGTTGCTAAAGGTGTCCGTAATATATTTGAAGTAATAAAGCGTTTGCTCAATAAAAAATGTACCTCCTCGCCGTCAGCATTCTTTACTCGATTTCCACCACCTTTCGATTTTTTGATAGGAGTTTTATCAATCACCCCCTCATCAGATGATGAATCACTTTGAACCTTGCGTTTCTCCTGCTGAATCATTGCAATATAGGGATAGAGATGAAAACAATGCCAAAAGCCACTAACCTTCTTTTCTTTCTTTTTCTCCTTCTCCTTCTTGTCGTTTTTCTCTTTCACAGCTTCTTCCTTTTTCTCCACTTTGTTCTCCTTCTTCTCAACTTTCTTTTCTTCCTTTGGCTTCTTCACTTTCTTCTCAGGAGTTGGTGATCTGCTGTCATCTGATGAGGAGTCAGACATTCTCTGAATCATAATGAAAATAGATCAGGTGAGATCGCAGCTATTTAGGCGTTCGAATTAAGAAATCTGAAATCAAACCTAACAGAATTGGAAAGAAGTCGAGTTACGAGCGCAGCAGTGTGTTGTAAAAATTAAGATTTTATGCTGAATTGGTACGAAAGTTTAAGGTAATCGAAAGAATTTAAAGGACACCTCTCCCAATGTGGAGACTTCCAAGTTAAACAAAAACATTACTACATACTTCTGTTTACTCGATTGTTCGAGTTAGCATTTATCTTTGTTTCGTAAGGCAACGAATCATTCAAATAGATTGCAGTGCACAAGGCATGCGTGATGCACATCACAATCACAGAACAAAGACATTTAGTACGTTGAACGGCACCGTCCCATTACTCCCTCATGGTCAATCATGTAATATTTGATGCGCCAACGGCAATAAATCGATGTGCACAGGGAAACATTTCAATGCTTTGAGATTGTTCAAAGAATTCATTGGCATAGTAGAATTTCTATTATTATGATTTGGCATAGCGGAAGAAGGATTAGATAGAGGGAGTCCAAGTCCAGCATGATTCAGGAAAAGAATATATGAAGCATGCCAGTCTCCAGTAGAGGAGTAGGTGTGAACGCAGTTCTTCTTACATGAGCTTATATGTAGCAAAAATGGGTTTTCTCAAACGATTATTGACTATTAGTATCATTGGTGACCTGAAAACGCTGATTCCAAATCTGACCTTCATTTCTAGCAAAGGCATTTTCAAGTGGTTAGGAAATGTTCTTCTGCAAAGGAAAGTTGATAACTTAATGAGATAATAATAAAACAGCTTTTGACTTCTTTTATTTTGAAAATGGAGCCATAGCGCAGCAAAATATAGGTCGTGCGCATCACTTTGAAAAGAGAGCATCATAACTTTAAAGAGTCATTCAGCAAATATGGAAAGCAATTGAAATTAGCGTTTCAAGGGCACTTGGCGGTGAGATAATTATTGTAAAGTCTACAGGGTGCAAAAGTTGCAACAAAATGCGCTCATCTACGTGAAGCAACCCAATTTTCAGAAATTCGCACGTTAATTTATACTGAAGTATCGAGTAGAGCTATCTAGTCTTTTGAAATTGGCCATTTCAAATAAATTAGATTTTCTTGTGATTTCTGTTAAGCGCTTTTGAACTGAAATCAAGCAGGGCAGTGACGAATGTCAATTTACATTGTACAGTTCGACAGTTTCAGAATACTTCCCTCAAAATTCATAACATAAGAGCATAGAGTTCTCTCTCAGCTCTATTTTTAATAGGCTATCTCTTCAACTCGTGATATGAACAAGGAAAAATAAGAAAATTTATCAAATCAACAAGAAAAGTAAAGAATGTATGAATAGTCTTTAGCCTATTCCCATCCATGATCGAATGAGGCTATGATGGCAGCAGCTCAGAGAGGCTAAACGAGCACACAAGCCGAGGATCACATCCATCGAGCCTAGCAACGAACGACTACAACAGATTCGCTACCTTGCCGCAGGAAATGCAAAGGAAGCGTGAAGATTAGTTTGTTCTGATGTTGAAGGAAAAAGAGGAAGACCAAAAATATGAACACACAGATAGGAATTATACCACGTGGAACCATCTTGCATTTAAAAACTGATTTTTGTTCTCATTACTTTTTTGAAGATCTGATACTAAGTTCAACAAGATTTGTACAATATTAACATCGTTTATTAGCTCACTTAGCAATCAGTGATCAATAAAGACTCGCACCTAAAGTTACAATCCGCTGGGAAAGACGCGCTCCATGGACCAATGCAAATTCGCTTTCGCGCGCAAAAATTGTTAGCGGGGCGCGCAATACAAAGAAAGTTTATTTCTCTCCATCTTTGTGCTTACATGCAATGTTCTCAGCTATGGACAAGTGACTTGTTTATTTACAGGATATGCTTTATGGGCAGCTGATAAATCAAATCACTGATTGAAACGTCAGGAAACTATTGTCAACTTTGGTTTATGCAACCGGAATCTTTATTTTGCGATAGTTCTGGATTTTGTACATTTCTGACGCAAGCTGCAGCGCAAAGTGCAGTGTTATCGCATTATGTGAATGGAATTTTCGAAGCTGAAACTAGCATTTTGCTGAATTATTACTATGAGATCCAAGCCCACCATGTTATAGTAGTTCTCTTACACTGGAACCTGAAAACTTACGATTCTTTCGTTTTCGATTCAATCTAAGTACGGTAATATGTAATACAACATTTCAACTGCTGCTAATATCAATGAGATTCGTTTAAGATTTGGATTATGCGTGGTGTTGGTAAGGCGCCCCGTTGTTCATAGCCGTACAATTGCGCAGCTCTTTGAGCTTTTTAGATGTAAATAAGTGA